AACTATTGTGTTCTTTGGAGTTATGCTATCCAAACTTCAGAAACAGGTGCAGGCATTTCAGGACAAGTGCAGTTGCATCTATTCCAGACAAACACTTCTCTGTTTTAGAGGATACTTCTTTCTTTTTAAAGGATCAAAAAATGCGCGTGAATTTGAATCTGATGTTAACAAGCCTGTTAACATGCTTCCAAAGTAACATGAAGACAATCAATAGGGAAAAGCCTTGGGGAATAACTTAGTGCTTGCTATTTTTTTAAATTCAATATATTAATGTTTCCTTTCAAGAAAATGCAGTCTGAATATACTTAATCATTTCCTTTAGTTTCTTTTCTTAATGCTTTGGCAATCCACAGTGACAAATTTCGCCACATAATAACGGTTCTATCAAAAGATTCCATTTTCCAAACTAATGTAACCCTAAGCCAAAACTTTCCTTATATTTTCATAATTTTCTTAGGCAGGGGAAGCTGAACGATAAAGTTTAAGGTCACATTGCAGCGTATTTTTTCAGTTAAGGGATTTGGGGAAATAGACCTGAGTGGCAAGCAGCCATTAGGAAAAAAGCAGTTATATTAGAATCAGAAAGTAAATTGGGTGTAACAAAGAGGACAGTCGGGACACATCAGGATGCCTGTTCATGCCCTGATCATTTCAGTCACACTCAAATTGGGTCAACAGTATTATCTTTGAGGGGTGCATGTATGTGTGTAGTAAAACAGTCATGTTGGTGCATGGGCGAATGAACATACAAAAACACAGGTATTTTGTGGATGATGAACAACAGATCGGATTAAAAGAAGTAAATAAAATTTATTTATTTGGTGGGTGCAGGGACTGTGTTTCAACATATTTGTGTCCCCTATATTCATGATGTGTTAGGCATAAAATATTTACATTTAAATGCATTACTGAATAGATAAATGGAAATAATGTGAATGAATGAATAAAATGGGAATGTCAATTAAAAGAGCTAACTTAAACTAATCCTTCCAGAGATTTCCTTGGACTTAACTAAGACCAATACTCTCAGGATGGCAAGAATAGGAGCTAAAAATAAAACTTCATTTCATCCGAGCCTTATTATATTCTAGTCTTGCATGAATGACTAGAGAATATTGATGTCATTGGGTTACTTCTATCTCATAACACAAAGGTATTAACATGCTCAATAATCAACTATATGGCACTCTTCTTACACTGCAACTTAGACTGGTAATTAGGAAAAATTTAAAGACTAATAATTCTCTAAGCGTAATACCATACAGCATATAGAATTCTACAGATTCTGTAAGAATGATAAAATACTCCAGAGATTGATGTCTGCTACAGATCATAATGATGTTCAGAGAAGCTTAGTTTCATTTAAAAAAAATAAATCTGAGTACCCAGAGGACAGTTCTTCCTCAGAAAAATAAAGTAAAATTGGAGAATTGTATTTGCATCACCTGGAGATTAAGTTACATGAGTAGTCAGGCTATATGTGTTTACAGATGACACTTTAATGGCAGTATGAACTTTATCAGGTTACTTAATTTCTCTGAACGTATTTTCTCCTCTGCTAAACTATAGACAGTAATGCCTCCCTGTCTGAGTTAGTGTGTAAATAAAGAACTCAGTAACGGTCCAATAGAGTAGGGTATCTGTAAATATGAGTTTTTTCTTCTTTCCTCAATTCCTCATTCTCAGTGTGGGAGCCAAGCTGTGGAAAGCTGGCCACGTTCAATTCACTTCAACCAGTGGATCATAAAATCACAATAATAGATTGATGTCTTCTTGTCCAAACTACAGTCAATTGTGCCATCACCTCTTCCTACCCCTACCTGTCCATACCCACTGGGTGGAGTCTCATAGGGTACGGAAGAAAGGAAAATGTGAGAAAAAAGAAAACAGGGAAGAGGGATTGGAGGGGAATAGGGTGAGGTGGAATATTAGATTCCAAGGCAGCCTCCTTAATGACACTTCACCTGCTCAGCCTAGAGTAAGCACTCCAAGACTAAATGACTCACTGCAGGAATTGCACACAAGCTTACACAAGGATTAAAGTGTCAATTCAGAAGTCATCACCCATCTGCACCCCATGACCCCACTCCCTCACAGTGAGATGCACTGGCTCATAGGGCCCTGAATTATCACTGTAATGCAGTTAGTTTGAATTTTTCAACCCAGTCCAAAATCAGGATCAACATCAGAATTATGGATTTCACAAGAAAGTGAATACTCATGGGAAAAAGGGGCTCCAAATCAGCAAGTCACACACTTACAATTTTAACATATAGCCTTTTATATGCCTCCCTTATTTTAAAATTGTGTCAATTCACATTTATCTCAAAGGCAATCTCAAAATGACACTGTGGCCTGGCGCAGTGGCTCATGCCTATAATCCCAGCACTTTGAGAGGCTGAGGCGGGCTGATTATGAGGTCAGGAAATTGAGACCATCCTGGCTAACATGGTGAAACCCCATCTCTACTAAAAATACAAAAAAATAGCTGGGCGTGGTGGCGGGCGCCTGTAGTCCCAGCTACTCGGGAAGCTGAGGCAGGAGAATGGCGGGAACCCGGGAGGCGGAGCTTGCAGTGAGCTGAGAGAGCGCCACTGCACTCCAGACTGGGCGACAGAGCGAGACTCCGTCAAAAAAAAAAATTACATTGTCAAATGGCATTTCCTGAATGCCAGCATAGTTTTAACTACCAACTCTATGCTTACAACTTGAAATTCTCTTGGTTTAGCCCTGACCCTGACTCACATATTCAACAGGCTTGGAAAAAAAAAATATAAACTTTGGCTTACCCTTTGTCCTCTATGCTGGAGATGTCTAGAAACAAACTTGACAGCTTCCTTCCATATTCCCCATTTCAGTAAATGGCACCAACATTTTCCTAGACACTCAGACTAGAAATCTGATAACGATAGCACTCTACTGCCTAAAACCATCATTAGCTCCTCATTGCCTTTAAAATAAAACCTGGGTCTGCAGGAAGGTAAAAAAAAAACCCAGTTCCTGTTTCTTAACCAACTTTACCTTTTACCACATGCTTCCTTACTTGGCATTCTGGTAATTTCAAACTGAATCTGGTCCCATGCACAGATTCTATCCCTCTGTTCCTTCTGCTTGGAATGCCCCTCTCATCTTTCTTTACCTGCAAACCTATTTTTATTTTTTGGATGAAATCCACATGCATTATGATCCAATAACCTCCTGCAATGCACGAGCCCTACATCTCCACCACTGTGAAGAGCCATATCACCCTAATTAAAATGTCCAAGAGCCCTCTTCCCCACGATTCTCATCATCTCTTTGGAACATAGGCGCCACTCACTAGTCATGAGCTCTTTTATTACCACTGTGTTGACAGCAACGATAATGAAGAACATGAGCATGTATAATGAATAATAGAAAAAATGCCCTCAAGAGAGTAGTGTTCACAAAATGTTTAGGAAATCCTCTGGAGCACAAGACATTATCAGAAGAGGGAAACCCTTCTACAAAGGGAAGATTTAGCAGCAGGCTTTCCCCAGTCAGTCTGGAGAAGGCTTTGAAGTTGCACACTCATAATTAAATGGGGCAGTTCTTTTATCTCCCTTTGCTGGCAAACTTTCAGGAGACCAGAGGAGTTTGTATCCATCTGCATGCACCAATCAGGCAGTCAAGCTTAACAAGATGTATATATGTATGTCTCTACCTTATGGATTATCAAATAGAACTGGACTGAAAATCTATAACTCCATTTTTGCTAAATGATACCTTTTCAGATAGATTTCTGACTGCTTTCTTTTTCTTTGTACTTTTAGACATCCTGGACTTACGTATTTTATTTCTTTGCATTTAGATTGCAAACTCCATGAAGTCAAAGATCATGGTTGTCTCCTGTCTGCTACTGGCTTCTACCACACCAGTAGCCCAGATGTCACTCAGTCCCTAACAGACAGTATCTGCCCCCTAGTATTTACAGTCAAAGATTTTTGAAACTACTAATGGATATTTAATTATAGACTACATTGCAGAATAACTTTAGTTTAATGCCTGTCAAACAGTTAATGCACAAAATAACCCTGGGCGTTGTATTACCCTGTTTTGTAATACATTAATACAGCTGTCCTGATGGCAACTATCCTGTTCATTGTCGACAGCTCTGCGAGTTTTGCAGTCTCAGAGTTGAACTGAGTAGCTATCTAGAGCTAATGGTTCTCCTGGGTGAGGAATTAGACTAACTTGAAAAGAGTGGGTGCCCTCTCATCTCTAGTCTTCGCCAACTTCGGGGATTCTCTGGAGGTTTTCCAAGTCACTAGTAGGAGCACTGCAAATATAAAATGCTTTGGAATGCACATTCAGTTTCTTTTACAGGGTCTGTGAGAATCAGAAATCTTAAAAACAGGAAAATATGTATTTATTTTTATTCATTACTTTTTACATTTTTGTGGTTGAACTGAGTAGCTGAGTACCTATCTAGAGCTAATGATTCTCCTGGGTGAGGAATTAGACTAACTTGAAAAGAGTGGGTGCCCTCTCATCTCTAGTCTTTGCCAACTTTGGGGATTCTCTGGAGGTTTTCCAAGTCACTAGTAGGAGCACTGCAAATATAAAATGCTTTGGAATGCACATTCAGTTTCTTTTACAGGGTCTGTGAGAATCAGAAATCTTGAAAACAGGAAAATATGTATTTTTTTATTTTTATTCATTACTTTTTACATTTTTGTGGGTACACAGTGGATGTATGTGTTTATGGAGTACGTGGGGTGTTTTGATACGGACATGCAATGTAAAGTAAGCACACCATGGAGAATGGGGTATCCATCCCCTCAAGCATTTATCCTTAGTGTTCCAAACAATCTAATTATACTCTTTACATTATTTTAAAATGTACAATTAAATTATTGACTATAGTCACCCTACTGTGCTATCAAACAGTAGGTCTTATTTATGCTATCTAATTTTTTTTTGTGCCCATTAACCATCCCCACTTCCCCCTCCAGAAAAATAGGAATTGAAAGAGCCCTTACCTGAACAGAAGTCATCAGAATATCGGTCATAGACAGCTCTACAGTCCCTTTCATCGCACTCACAGGTGTCCCCATGAATATCTCCCCAGTCCCCAGTTGGATCAACATCGTGACAGGTACATTCACCACATACACAAGTCCCTAGGTGGGAAGAAGAATTTTATAAGAATCCAGTCAAGAAAAACCATGAAAGAAAGCATTTCACATATTTCTTATTATTTTCTGCTGCTTACTTTGTATTTGAAAAAAAACCACATATATTAGATAAAAATATTCTAAAAAGGAAAAGCACCATCTAATATTGGTAATAGAGATTCCTTAATAAACAAAAGTTATTATATATTCTATAATTATGTGAGTTGGTAGAATGTGTCATTAGTATTGTGTTAGTTTCCTTCAAAGATAACACTAAAACAATTTATATAAGATATAATCTTTTCCCTCAAGAAGCTTGCAATCTATTTGGCAAAAAGAAAGCTAATAAGAAAGAAAAATTAGCAAACACTAAAAACAATGTGTGACTATTTTGTAAACTAAGACATGAATGCTCTAAGAATTTGGAGAAAGAGGGTCAATGAGGGTTGCAGTAATTAGCAGTGGATGGATTGGATAATACGGATTAGAGGAAATGTTCTAGGAGACATTGGAGGTAGAACTAAGAGAAAGTCAAGAAGAAAAGACTAAGCAATGAAGGGTAGGGATGGGCATAGGGACCCTGAGGTGCATGTTAAAAAAAAGACTAAGAAGTAAGGTTTGCTAGATCAGATGAGTCCAGATTATAAAGAATGTTGGAGATGAGATTGAGAGATATAAACTTGGTCATTTGCAGACTTGCAGAGGGAAATACTCATCTGTAAATCATATTTACTCTGTGTGGATTATCAGTAACTATCTTTAGGGCAACCAGCTAATCATTTGATAGAGACATAAAGTTAAATCCTTTTCTTACCTCTAACAACAAAATAAGTACCAGTTGGATTAAAGATTTAAATGTACAAAATAAAACTGTAGAATATGAACTAAACTCTTTTTATTCAAGACCCCCAATGCACAATTACTAAAAAAGGAAATTGAAAATTTCCAAAAAAAATTGAAAATTTTGGTTGGAAACAAAACACTATAAAAAAAACCAGACTGATAAAGCTGAAACAAGTGGTTAATATGTCTGTAAAAGACAAAGAATACTTACAAAAACATATAAATAAATCATAGGATTGAATATGGAAAGGATTAATATGCCCAAAGTGAAATAGACAAAACCAAAGAATAGGAAATTTCATACAGAAATAATGATAGATAAAGATGAAAAATGTTTATCACTCAGTTGACCACTACTAAGCGGGCAGCAGTGGGAGAGCTTCAAAATAATCATGATTGGCAATTATTTCAGATGTCAGATTGTCAGAGGTGGAAAATATTGCTTGGATCCAGACTTGGTAAAGGTGTGGGACAATGGGTACTTTCTGGCCCTGAACAGAATGTACAAAATGGTACAACTTTCTGGGTAGGGATTTTACAATATGCACTTTTTATATCTGTGTTATTATTTAGACGTATAGCTCGCTTTAATTAATGTACCCAACAGAAATAAAAAGTACACACGAGTATATGTTCAGAAATATAAAATATAGTTGTATTTATATTTTTGAAAAATTACTAGTGACTGAAATATTGATCAATGAGGAATTAGCGCAGTAATGGTACACACATATGGACTAGCTGGCAATCACTGAGTAATAATTAGGGTTTTGCTCCATAAATATGGAAAGATAAATAACATATATTACAAAATAAATAAAAGTGTAAAATTACAAATCAGCATGTACAGTATGATTTGATATTTTTCTTTAATAAAAAGGAAATACAGGGATAGGGCAGCCACACAAGTGAATTTTAACAAATAAATACGGACTGAAAGTTCATGTGACAATATGTAAAAGGAGGTTACACCTGGATGTTAGGTTTATGGGTCATTTTCTTATTTTTCTGTGTACTCTACTTTGTTATCTAGATTTTTAAAAATGAATATGCATTGCTTTCATAAGAGGATAAATGAGTTTGGTCAAGAGGAACAGGGACTAGGAGCACGCAGATGTGAAAAAGCAGCAGCTTCTCAGCCATGTGTAAAGGGGTCCAATATGAAACTCAATAAACTGGGTGGGCAATAGAGGACATTTGTTCTATTAATGGCTATGTCTGCGACATTGGGGTTTTGGCCCCTGAAGATGGGGAAAAAGGAAGACAAGATAGGTATGTGCAGGGACCAGCGTCTTTCTATTACCTATGGATGCAATGGCACAGAAACGCTTTCAGGGTAGTCAGGCGTATAACCTTTTTAGAAAAAACAATGACTCATCTCAGCACCCACTTCTGCCCTGTCTTCATGTACCCCTGAGTCTCAGAAGCGGTGAGTCTCATTGAGGCAAGCTGCTTCCTATTATGCCTCTGCCAGATCTCCAGGTCAGAACGCTCCCAGCACAGCAAAGTGGGAGGCAGGTGGCTTAGCTTATGTTTCTGAAGGACGCCGTCTCTCACAGCCAACGTAACTCTGCTGTGGAACCTGACCTTAATCCACGGCCCAACCAACTCCATTTTCCACCTCTCTCTTTTTGACAGCTAAATAGTCATTTTCCACAGTACACAGTTCAAGCTTCATATACTTATAAATGGTAACTGTGACCCCTACTGCATAAAAGGACCCATGCAGAAAACACATCCTTATACATAAAAAGAAACCATAAGGTTAATTCGTATGATATTGTAAGATTTAATCCTCACAAAGAGAGGATTTCATGATTTTGTTCCAAGTTCCTGCCTTTTTATTTATTTTCTCTATGTAAAGAAATGTGGCACATTTTGTTCCTCTATGTCAGTTTCTGAAAGGCGGTATGCTACGGTTTCTGTACTAGCATTATCTATTACAATGCACGTATAGAAACGAAAAAGAAGTTTTCCACCTATCTGATTTTTTTAGTTTTAAAGAAGTATAGTCACTTTTTAATGTCATCGATAGGCAATGAAAAGTTTAGGATGGCTCTCTTTATCATTATGACAGAGGTAATATTAAGTATTTTCAAGGAATTTTAAAACTATGTTTAAACTGTTTGATTTTATATCAAAAGTTAGTTAACTACCTTTAAGTTATAGTTTAGCAATATTAATATATTTGTTAACTTCCTTTGTAAAGTCAGTGTACATTTCATATGGCTATTGGATACATACTTTGTAAATCTATTGCATTCAATATCACATTTTTATTATTGCACACAGAAGTTAAATTAGTCCATATAAAATCTGCATTTCAACCAAGCCTTCCATTTACTCATAATTAAGACAAGAGGGTTTTCTGAATGCTCTCTGGATAATTAGATGCTCATGCTGTAGATGGTTCTGTTAGTCAAGAGACATTTAACAGAAGTATCTACAGGAATTGCCTTTTAGCTGTACTGTGCTATTTCTGGAGGGCTGCCAAATAAATTACAGTCCCTAAGTTAACTGTTTATTCAGTGAAGCTTAAAGAATGACAGCAACTTTCTTATTTTTCTCTTTTCTACTCAATAAAAAACAAGACAGAAAAGACTGTTGATATAGTAAATGTTGATTTACATCAAAGTAAATGATTAGAAGATAACTTCCTCCCACACTAGAGGACAAAGAGAAGAAAAGAAGTGTTAGCAATTAAAAGCTTTGTTTGCCTCCCCATTATGTAGTAACATGTATGAATGACACACCTCTGTTACTGCAGATTTTGCCATCTGGAGATGTGCATCTTCGCTTGCTTTCCCAGGGGGTGATATCGCACTGGAATTCACATTTATCTCCATGCCAACCAGCCTTGCAGTAGCAGTTTCCACAGTAACACTTCCCATGGCCTTTACCCAAAATGAATTTTATACAGTGAGGAAAAAAGCAACTTTCATAAGCAGAATTAACTTTCTATCTTTTTGTGATCACTTTGGCCTTCTGAAATAATGTCACAGTTCAACATTCCTTGCCTAAAATCATCAAATTATACAGCTTTCTCCAAACACATCATGGTTGTGCCTTTACCTGCTTAATTACACAAAAAGAGCAAAGTGTCCTTTAACTTGGCCTAGACAGAGAACTGACTGAAAGTATTTTTAACGAAATGACATGAATGACCATGAGAGTCTATTACTTTTCCATCTCAAATGCACGTATCAAACCCAAATATATATGAGCATTCACTCTAAGGACGTTTCTTGAATTAGTTATTAAAATATTTCATTTGAAATCAACTATTGAGAAACCAATGGTGCATATTTACCTAGATACACATTATGAAGGACCAAACAACTCTTTAAAGCAGAAGAAATATTTCATCTTCTCACTCAACTGTGTCACACAAGCTGTTGGGTTCTACCATGCGAAAGAGGTTTTCAGCCTAGTCCATGTTTAATCCTCATTTAGACAAATAAAATACCACGGGCCCTCGGCCTCACGATCAGACTCCCTTTCGACTTGTCAAGGGGATACCAATGACAGCTAAGGGCACTCATCATTTTGTGTCCAGATGCCCTCTTTCAGCTCCTACCTCTCTGTAACCTGTCACCTGCTCATCTGCTCTTGCCTCCAAGCCATCTGTAGTGAATTATCCCATCATTGCTTTCCTCATCCACATCTAGCAATCCTTCTGCAAATTCCCCAAAGATGGCATTTATCCCAAAATTTACTTCTTGTACTCTCATCTTTGTGGTTATATCACCTAAGCATAAATGTAGGTCCTTGCTCTTGTTTTGTTTTTAGTCTATTCTTTCTGTATTATAGGAGCTTGTGTTTTATCAGTCTATGGCTAAAGTCTTTGTCCTTTCCATCTCCCTTCTCTTACAGTCAAAATCCCCCAAAGACAATGCAAAACTGATTATGAGACTACTTTTCATTGTCTTATAAGCATATTTATCATTCTAACGCTATGGTATCTCTGGCCAATGGCAAGAACTTTAGTAGGACCTGTAAAACTCACTTAAGAAGCAGGAATTACAATAGAATATTCTGGTCTCCTATGCTGTTCACATCCAGCAGATGAGGCTTCCATCAAGAAGACATACATGTGAGAGACAGAGACAGACAGATAAGGAGAAAGAGTGCTATCGTGAGACACAGAGAAAGAGATAGGGACCCAGTGCCATGTTTTCTGTCTAAATAAGTTATAATTGGGATATTCAAAGAAAATCACTTCTTAACCTAACAATCAGTGACCATTTCCATAAAGAATCTGAATTTTAAATTTGTTTACTTAAGCAAGTGCAAAGGCTGTCAAGTGATTTAATCGGTACAGAAGATATCATCTATATATTTTATTTATGAACTTAAAACGGTGTCCACTTGCACACACAACTAAATCACATCCTAGTGATATATCACAGGCCTCAATAACTCAAGGATTACACTGAAGAAAAGCAATAGTGTATATTAATTGCTTTTCTTAGGAGTCAGGTTTGTAAGATGCAATCACCTCTTTAGACTACAGAATTTATTTTCTTTGTAATTTCAGAAAATTTATACAGAAGGTGCTACATACGTAAGGCTTACTATATTAACAAATAATAGAAAATCTATATTTCTCACATCCAAATTCTTTAAATATTTATACAAGTCAGTATCGAATTCGGGTTCTACTAAGAAACCTTTGAGTTAGAGGTAAATAAGGAAGCAAAAATTATGTAACGATACACATCTATGCAGATATGGAAAATTAAACAGATATCCACATAACTCAAATAAAAATATTGAACAAGACACATCTGAATAATTGAGATTAAAATGTGTGCTTTAGGACAATACATATTCCACACAATAAACATAATTCTTTGCTTTGTGCAAACTGATAGAGCAAGAAAATCTCTATTTGTACTGCTTCACTGATGAACTGTAGAATCATCTCTCAGCAGATTGGTTTCATGTGAATGACACATGGAAAGATTTACAATCCCAGGCAATGTCACCCCCAGAGGGTGTTTACTAGAGTGCTGGTGTCCTTGTTCAGAGACTTTGCACCATGAAATTGCTTAAGCCTCAAACAAATGGAAATAACAACTAGAAAGTTTGAAAGTTAAGCATTTTCTGTTGTGTTAAGTTACATGTTTCTATGTATACATGCAAATAGACTCTGCTTTGTTGGTGTGTGTCACCACACACTGGCCCCAAAGCATGTTCCAGTCTTCTTTTTTTTTTCATCTGTAATAATTAGAAACTAAACTTGAAGAGGACAAATACATATATTTTTGGATGGATTTGTCTAATTGATCTAATTATTTTGGATTGAGCCCTTTAAGAGAGACTTGTCTGAGCAGCATCTTGCTTAGGTCATTGGCTTGGAAAAATGAAAACAACAATTTTGTGTTTGTTTGCTTTATCCAGGTGGGTTGTACAGCCAGGAGATCAAGGAGGAAAGGCCAGTCAGGCCTAAAATAAGTGTATTTGTATGACTCATAGGAATTGAAGCTACCAAAATGTAAACAAAGGAACAAGCTTGTCCTATGCTAGCCACACTTTCTCAGGGGTCTCTGGTTCCACCTGGCCCCATTGGGTCCTAATCCTTCTAGAAAAACAATACTTCTAAAACTACTATTTCTGCATGTGGGGCAGTATTCCTTCAGCTGGAATCCCATCAGATAGGAGTCAAATATAAGTTTAATCATAGCAGAGAAGAATTTACCTAAACCGAATGATTCTCTCTGCTTTCTACTTTCCTTTTCCTATGCCAGTCAAGGTTGCAAATGGAAACTCTGGGCACAGGCTTGCAGGTTGAGCAGAAGAGATGAAAACTACAAGTGGTGAGGAGAGACCCCTCTTGTGGAGCTCTGAGCTCTGAGGCACTGATGCAGTCGGGAGTGGTGAGGCGTCAGGAACACAGACACGAGCCCAAATTCTACTATCATTGGTGGACTGACCCTGGGTTCATTACCTAATTTATTCAAGTCCCAGGTTCCACATCTATCTATGAACATAAACATAATTCTTACCCTAGAGTGATGTTGTGAGAGAAAATATAATGAATGTAAAGCACTTATTGCAGAATTTGTCACTAGCAAACATGCAAGAACTGCTACAACAGAAAAATGAATTCAGTAATGGTGGTACATAGAAAAGGTCATTGGAAATGTTATCTAAGTGTGTAGGGACGTAGATGGAGAGGTAAACTCTAGGCTAATAACCCTATTGACCTTCAGTGTCCCCAGTAGGATGTGAGACGCATGTTTTAGCAAGGGAGAAACAAAGAAATGAAAATATACACTTAAGAGAGTAGGAGAAAGGAGAATAAAAGTGGCTAAGGTGAGCAGAGGAGATGGTATTCTACTAGGACTACTTCAGAGCTATGCAATTGGTCTGTTGCCATAATGACACAGCTCTCCTCAGGGGATAATTTGGCTTTGCATCTAAAAAGTACTAGTCTACTCTTAATGCCATAGTCTCACTCTCCTTATGTGAAATGTTTTCCAGATAAACATAGGTTTAAACTGAATTAGTACACCTAGAGCAGAAATTTATGTAGAGATAAAAGAACAATGTAATAGGTGAAAAAACAGGTACTTTTATTAATTTCTACAGAGCCAATATACATACCTCCACATATTTCTTCTGTTTCATCATCTATGCATTCTCTATCGTCACACTCACAAAATTTACCATACACAAGTCCACTTCCATCTGAATTATCACACTTACACCTGCCACAGTGACATGTACCTAAACCATGAAAACAAAAAAGACTATTTGTTACATGCATATAAAATTATAATTAATGGATTTTTATACCCGTTCTTTTAAGAGAGTAGATAATCCACATCGATTTAATATTTCAATTAGATATTTCTGTGGGCATGGTGAGGTAAAGTGCATGCTACTCTTTCTTGAGGTTACTGTAGCATGGCAATTACATTTTACATCACACAACTATTATTATTGACCTCTAATGGTTTAATGAATGTAAATTTGACCTCTTCAAGCGCAGAGCTACTTTACACATAGCCATCCAACCAATGCATGAAGGTCTTCTGATCACACCTGGGTCTGAAGGGAAATAAAGCAGGAAATTCTAAGCTTTGGGAGGGAAACAACCTTGCTTATCTTCCTCACCAGTATTTATTCAATGCTTTGCACAATGTTTGAACATACTATTTATGTAGTAAATATTTGCAGAAGTAATTTATTATCAAATGCATAAATAAAAATCATATGTGCCCTGATAATTTCCCCTCCTCAGCATTAACTTACACTGATACACATGTCCTTACAATAATGGAACCAGAGTGGATTTCCTTAGGCATGGATTGCTGGGACCTCACCACATTCTCAGGGGACCTCAGAATTAGAGAGGCATGGTAGTTATCTGGTGTACCACGAGCCACATACTCACCCAAGTCTGAAGATTCTACCACATCCCCCAAAAGTAATTTCACCAACATTAACATTGCACTCAAATAATATTGACAGGTAGAATGCCCACTTGAGAAATTCCCTTTTTAATGCATCTCTTTTGAGTTTTAATGCTTATCACAGCCATCAACATGTATCCACCGAGACTTGATCACTCACAAGAAACCACCCCGGACTCTGAAAATCCAACAGGGATCAAGTCAGCCATAACCCTCCTCTCAGAGTTTTATATGAGCAAAAACCAATGTGATAAAATAAATACAGAAGTGCAAAGTGTTGCAGAAGCACACAGCAAGGGGATTTAACTGAGACCAGGAGGTCAAAGTCAGAGTCCCTGAGGAAGTAGTTGAGAACTAAAAGCCAAGTGAAAATGCATAGTTAAGATAAGTGAGATGGCAAAGAGGCTCACTTCCAGCACGAGACAATAGCACAGGCTCTGCAATAAAAAAGGAGGTGAAGAGAAAACATCACATGGGATTGAGGTATACAGAACAGCGTGAAAAGTGGCATGAAATGAATAAAGCAACCCGAGGTGCAGTTCATGGAAGTCTTATAAGTCATGTTAAAGATTTCCAGCTTTAATCCAACAACAAATGGAAGACACAGAAGCAAGGGAGTCCTGTGATCACATATGAATTTTAACTAGATTACTCTGGTTGTCAGGTAACAAAAACTAAATGAAGCAATAGCATAAGAATGCATGAACTAAAATGAGGCAAAAGTGGACACAAAGAAATAGGTTAAAGGGCTGTTAGATTTATCTGAAGGAAAGAAGACAGTGGCTAGATACATGACGCGTTAAGTTTAGAAAGGACCAAATGCATTCGGAGATATTTTTAGGAGATAGTAGAGGGCATTTGGTGACTGACTGTAAAGGGCAAAGGATGGTGAGGAACCAAAGATGCTGTTTATAATTTGGTTTGAATTACTAGATATTGGCAAATCCATATGTGATGTATTAGAAACAGCATGAACTTGTGAGTAAGGTAGAGCTGTAGCTGAATTCAGAGTTTTAATCTTCATGAGCTATGCATTTTTAAAGGCATTGCTTTCATTTCTAATTCCCAGATTCCATATCTGCAAATAATCTCTGCTTCATAGAACTGCTGCCAATACCAAGTGATGAATATGTACCCAGTCATGTTTCTAGAAGCACTGCTGAACCTAGTACATAGTAGGATTTGAGAAAATTCCAGGTTCTTCCTCTTCTCCCATTAAGATACAGAGTATATTCGTCATACTTCAAAACATTTTCTCCAGAAAATATATTTACGGACGCTGACAATATCCTTGTTTTCATATCCTCTGTATGATTCTGTTACCCAGATCACTTGTAACTCACTATTATCTATAAAATTTTCTCTCATAGTTACATACAAATGGTGATTTTGCCAAATTTATTTTTCTACCTTGCAAATACTCATGTGAATTTTCCTGCTATTAAACTTCATTTTATTGCATTTTTCCCTAAAAGCTATCTCAATTCATAAAAGTAATTTGAAATCTAATGCTATAATTTATGCTATTGCTTCATCTAGTTTTTATTCTCTAATTATCACCCTCCTTTTTCATTTTCACATTTATTCATTCTGTCTCTCAACCACCCACATATCCAGCCATTAAGCTTTCTTGTTATCTATTATGCTATTGGCAAGGAACTAGGTGCTATAGAAAATAATGAGATGCTTAAAATTAAGTAAATCATAGACCAGGAAGAAAGAGATACCCTATTAATACATTTCGTATAGCATTTGCCACAAGTCTATTGCAAAAGTCTTTGTGTCATATGTTTTCTTGTTTTATAAATACAAATATAAACCTATATAAATATTATACATGTAACAATATATAAGATGGGTCTCTCATATGCAGTATGAGAACAGGAAGTCACTTGGTTAGGGTTGTGTATGGGGAAGTTTTTCAGGAAAGATGGGAAGGAACAGCCTCTGTCTCCAAATTCTATGACTCCTCACTGAAGTCCCCCATAGGCAGCTTCCTCTCATCCACACGTCAGAACCATTCCTGGCTGATGTGGGAAGTTTACAACAGCTCAGAGACTTCCTGTCTCACCCATAAAACAGAATTCACAACTGAGCCTCCAAGACATGGCATATGGACACCCAAGCAAAAGCTCCAGACTCCTGTGCTCATGCTATGACACACAGCTTCTCTCTCGTGGTTGCCAGTTATTTCAGCTTCTAGGATTGGTCTTCTGCCTTACACTAGATTATTTTAGCCCCTATTTCTCATAGTGCCCAATAGAGCTGACTCTCTCTAGGATGACTGACCAGATGTGTACAGCAGCCCACACCCCTGTGCAGTGGTGCTGGGGCCTCACTCTGCTCTGCACACTAGACCTCTCTTCTAGTTTTCCCAGAAAGTAAGCCTCTGGAACACTTTGGTTCCCAGTTCTATCTCATCCTGCCCTTCAGTCTCATTCCCCAATCCATTTAACTCCTCTTCCCCTTCTGCTCCAAACTACTCGAGAAAACCACACCGTGATATGAAAAGGAAAGATTAATAGAGAGACTTCATAGGCTAATACGATTTGGGGGAAGTGGTCCTGAACTCGGATGGTGGAAGTGGGTATTAAAAGAAAGACAGGGAGAATGAGATTGCCAAAGTAAACATGAAAGGCTTAGATATTTAGACAAGAGTAAATGAGACAGAAAAGATTAAATGTAACACTGAATACAAATGTATCCTTTGGCCAATTGCATTTCTGGTAATTTGCCTTGAATATACACCTCCAAAAATATAAAAATATATGTACACTAGATCATTCTGTGCAGTATTATTTACAATCCAAAATACTGACAACTGTCTAAATGCTCAAGCATAAGAGCTCAATTGAATAAATTACAATGCGTACATAGAATCCAGTCTTATGTTTTTGAAAAAATAACCAGAAGGATTTCTATTAACTGATTTGGAGTGAATTCCAGGAGATTATATTGAGTGGTAAAAGCAGAGTGCAAAAGAACACATGGAAAGCACAACCATTGCACAGGAAAAAAATGGGAAACAATAACACACAAATATTTCTATTTATCTTTACACAAAAAGAAATACATGCACAGAAAAGGAAGAAAGCGATAAAGTTGGTTATCTATAAGGTGAGGGTAAGCCAGGTGCAAGGTTTGACGAAGAGAGTGATGATTCTCTGAGTATGCTTTTCTGCATAGCTTTGACTTTTAGAAGCAAGTTAGTGTACTATACATTATAAAATATATTAATACAGATGGGAAGGGATTATAAAACCTAAAGTTGAAAGTGATATGAAATAAATAAGCCAACTTGTATTTCAAACAAGTGCCGTAACCACGTGAAAAGAGAAGAAAATAAAATAAGTCTGAGTAACTTATAACACAGTATTCGATTACATACCCCAATCTTGGGCATGATTGAGGTACACTGAGTGGGGGGAAGTGGAGAGGGGTGGACTGCAAATCCTAATCTCTTCTGGTAGATTTTCTTGGTCTAGTGGTGTGTCTGCAGCACTTCTAGAAGTAACTAGAGATGTAGTATAGGATTGAGCAAATAAGTAAATATGTTGGAGGTATTGGGATACAGGGTTCTCCCTGTGAAAATGGGACATGCAAATATGGAATGGAGAAAACAAGAAGTAATCCTGTGAGGATGGACTAGAATTAGATGTATTGGTGTAAATTCATGATTTCTAAAATATGCATGTATGTGTACATGCATATCTTTGTGCAGGTATGCGTATATGTATTTGTGTGTATATGCACAGGCATATATTTACTAGTGTCAAGATAAATTAAAATGGAGACAAGGCCTAAAGAAGCCCTGAGCAGACTAAGCCATTGAGGCCCCATAAACAATCCTAACTTTGCCTGATACTCAAAAATAAGTGAAACTTACCTTAAGTTATATCTTGTAAATGTCTACATTAAAGAAGAACAGAACTTACGTTTAACCAGTCAGAAGCAACCAACAAACTTATAATTATATAACTAGGGACTTTCCAAAAGGATAGACTAAATAAGGCAACCATATAATGTTAGCCAATCAACTATTTTTCTTTGCTTTCTTTTTCTGTTCACCCTATAAAAGCCTCCCACTTGCATTCCCTCAATGAAGCTCCTGTACCACTTCTGATTTGGAGCTTCCTGATTCACGAATCATTGTTTGCTCAGATAAAATAAAAATTGTATTATGATTCAATCTACCTTTTTGACACAAGCCTGTTTGCAGAAAGGGCCAAGAAGCAAATACACTCCAGTGGAAATAAGCATTCCTAGTGCTCACAATTTTTATTCAAATACCATTTTCACTAAAAGGAATCAGGGCTATTTGGATAAGTGGCTGATTCCAAAGGTGTGGTGAAGCAGGTCCAATATGACCCTGGAATGTGTTATTATGCCAACAAGAATTGCAAAAACAAACCAAAAACAAAAAAAAAAGGGAGGCATGTCACAAAAACACAAAAGCTAGCCCGATGGGCTCTAATACCTAATCTGGAAAACTCTGTGCACCAGAATAATTTTGTACAAAATGAATAACAAATCACTGAAATAATAAGAATTGTGCTTCTAGACTGATAAGAAGTCACTAAGTAAATGAAATATCAAATAACTGGTAAATGAGAGAGGATTCCTGTTTGTGATAGAATGCTGAGTGCCAACTAGTCCATTCGGAGAGAATGTTACAGTTCTTAAATCATCATTTTCCAGTCATCATTGTCAATACTGTATCAGGTTATTGTCATCAGTGGATGATAAATCTAGGGTAATTTTAGTGAGGAATGTGATACATGTATGTTTTTAAAGTGTTTCCTCATAGAATGCACATTTGTGAAGAGGGTAAGTCAGAAATAACACAGTTGAGACACCAGCCAACACCTTGACCATCTCATCAAAACTGACATCACCACTATGAGCATATGGACATCATGTGCTTCCATATGAAACATTTGGAGAATATGAAACCATTTCTCCAATGTTTTACCTCAGAATGTGTATGATGAATCTAATCGTGGGAGACATAAGACAAATCCAAGATAAGTACACTTTTCTTTTAATAAAATGGGGACAACTTTCTTCACAAGTTTCAATGCTCCAAAGGTAAAGTCTGTGGAAATGGCCCAGCTTAAGGAAGACTAAAGAGAGATATAAACATAACATTTTCAATAGACTGAATCCTGCAAGGAGAGAAAAATGCTATAGAGGACACTATTGGGTCACTTGACTAAACCAGATTATGAATAAAGGTATTGCATCCATGCTTAAAAAATGAGAGAGTACAGATGTCCTAGAAATGCATTTATATTGTATTGAATATGTTTTATCATCCACTGAAACACTTCTGTATGTTTTCTCCTTTAAGATATGTTAATGTGGTGAATTACATGTTTAGATTCCTTAATATTAAACATCTTTAGAATCCTAGACTACTGCATTTGATTATAATGTTCTTTAAAAAATAAAACCCTAAATTTGATTTGCAAACAACAAATAAATAAATCCAAAAATAGATTTCAAACCCAAAACAGAATTCAGGTCTTGTTTCTGAAATAAATTTGAAAAGAATTTTTTCAAGATGAAAGACACTATGGGGTGTGTGTGTGTGTGTGTGTGTGTGTGTGTGTGTGTGTGTGTGTGTTTGGAGGGGTGGGTGTTATGAATTGGAAGTAGAGGAATCCTACTAAGAAGAAAGAAAGACTGAAGTGCTAGAGAAATATGATGAGAACATCATGAACACAGAAAGGGACCTAACTGCTAAGACCATTTGTCATGACCCCTGACGGATCCACTCACACCTCGCTTTGGATATGGTCCTGATTCCTATCAGCAAAACACCTTTACTGAGCTCAGTCTAAAACACACAATCTGTTGCAATCAGACTGTGGGGAGTTCTCAGCTCTAGTTAGAGGTGGGCCCTACCGACAATGTGAGCTTCGGGAGGAAAGGTACTCATTCGTGAAGTCAAATCCTCACCTTTAGCATTTAGAGCAATGGGTTGCACACTCGATCTATATTAAAATCACCCAGAGAGCTTTAAAAAAACCACCAAAGTCAAGGCCAGACACCAAAGCACTTGAAACAGAACCTCTGCTGTACTACACGAGAACTGACGGTTTATTCCTTTCCCCTTGGGATGCTGATGTTCAACCATGGTTGAGAAAAACTGATTTTGAGGTTTCACCTGCCCAAATGTAAAAATAGTATTTAATTTAGGTAACACTCACTAAATACCATTGAAACCTAAACTGCAACTCTTTTATATGATTTTGCTAATCAATTTTAATAGCATCTCTATAATTTTGTAAAAAGTATTTTTGAATAACTTCTATAAAACAAAAAATATTTTGATCAAACAAAAAATCTTTCTGAGACTATATCCTTCAAGGAGTTTATAACCAGTATATCTGAAACTTCTATCAGACTTAAAGTATTTGGTTCCATTTTGTGAAGGTAAAAATTCAAAGCACCCTTGATCTGTAACAGAAAATAATTAAGTCGGTTTATATAAATCCCTTTTAACAGATGTAATCCGGTATTCAATATCATGGCTCACAATTTACATAAAATGTTGTTGGGATGTTGTTTCCAGTGAATATCCTGCTAGAAGGAGGCATTTGGAACAGCTGGAAAGTATCAGACTTGCCTGTCTCAGCAAGATGGCATTTTTTTCTATTGATTTATCTGAATTTCACTTCTAAAAAACACACTCAAAAGCAGACTCACTCAGAGATTCGACATTTCTCCATGCCCACATATTTCCATTAAAAACAAAATTTGATTATTTCACTTAAGCATTTTCACAGGGTATACTTCTTACCTGCATTAGAGCAGATGATGTCTTGTGAATTCTTGCACATTTGGTTACTTTTCTTCTTTGTCAAGTCACAGTGAGTTGGGTACTGGCAAGCATCCCCATACCATCCCTGGTCACACTTGCACTTGCCACAGTCACACTTACCATGGCCTGAGGATTGAACAACATCTAGTCAGACTCAAATTGTTTTCCAAAGATAACCATTACTATAACACATACTCTTAACAGTGACATTGATTTGGGACTGAGCTGTAATAAATTGAAACTCATGTATATCACAGTGGCTGAGGGGTAATGCTATTATATAAAATGCAATGGAATGTGAAAATTTTATTTCAATAATCAACTGATAAATGATTGTGAAAACATTAATTTATGAAGACATTAGGATAATACATTAAAAAGCGTAATAAATCACATGCTCAGAAAATTCAGCACTGAAAAAACATTCTATCCAGCATCTCAGTACTTAAGAGACAAAAGTCCAATGAAAAAATACTTCTACTTAACTGTATTTTACATAACACACTAAACCACAAACCTTGAATGAAGATTCTTACATGAAACTCTACTAAACACTGGCCTTACAGTTACTCGAATTAAGCATGTAATGAAATTTATGGATATATTATATACCAACTTCAGTAATATGGTCATAAAATATGTATATATTTTGTTTCATATTCATCCACCTCCACAGAAATGTCTCAATCTTCAATGTTCTCAATAGTCATTTTGCTTTAATGCATGTTGTTTTCATTGTTGTGATCAGTAACGTTATTAAGTCCTGCTTGATGAAGCCTACTAGTTTTTATTGATTGCACATTAGTCTGACAGAAGTACAAAACATGTGCAGTACTTAGTCCTTGTCCTCAAAGAACTTATAAACTTCAAAGTCAAGGCTAATATACAAAGAAGCTGGTGTGATTTCAGCCAGAAGTGATTGTCACCTCGAGTTATGTTGAGCGATATAGTCTATGACCTATAGACATAATAGTAGAGACTTTCTGGACTTCCTTGATGGTTAACTGGCCCTTGAAAGTTGAACAGATTTTGAATGAGTTACAGGAAGAGTGTACATACATTACTCAAGACAATACTACTATGTCTAAATGTCTAAGATTCACAGGCCACATGAAGTCATTGATCCGATTCAACGTGGTAGCTGAAATCCAAGGGATAAGGTCCAGATGGTTGGTCAGTATGAATGGCTTGGAAGCTGCCCATCTGGGCATGTTCAGCAGAGTCTGAATCTGTGATTGGCTGTGATTTTAAAACTGCTCTTTATGTGGCCCAGTCCATGTAAATGTTCCTATTTCTGTTGCATTTATAAAATTAATTATTCTATTGTATAAACAAAACCTTGCAAGTATCTTAATTGAAATTCATTCTATTCGGCACACATTACTTCGCCAAATTGATTGCATCATTTTGCATTCCTACCTGGCCTTACAAGATATTGTCAATCTTGGCCAACTTGGTATCATTTATAAGCAAAAGTGATCTCTCCTGTCAACCACCTAGACTATTTATAAAAGCATTAAGCCAAATTCCTGCAGTGGCTAAGGCTCTTTGATAAATCAACTATCTTGGAAACTGTGCTGACTCTTTAATCACATTAGTGTATTAGGTTGAACCATATGGAATTGCCACTTTCATAAGTTGAATATCAGCTGTTTCTTAAGGTTCCACACCAATAAACAGTCTTCATATAAACATTAAAGAAAATAGAAACGATTTAGAACATAAAGCATTATGGTAGCAATAATTTGGTGAATCAAGAATGAAAGACTACTTAATGTGATTTTTAAAATTTTATATTGAATAGGACATCTTAGATCCTAAAGTATATACAATAGAGATGGGAAGTAATTTGCAGGTCAAAGGTAACATCTTTTTAAACGTTAGAAGGTTAAAAATAGAAAGATGGGGGAAAATAAACAAAATGTATACAAGATAGGGAGAGATGCATCCCTTCCAAAATGACCCAATGAAACATCAATAGAAGAAATATTCTAAGTAGCTTATCCCCTGAAGTGAGTTCATGAAGGCTCAGTTTCATGAAACTCTCTTCACAGAAGATTCTAGAGTAAAATAAACACGGAACAGACTCTGCTATCTTCTGTTTTAACGTGTCATGATATACATCAGCACACTAATGAGCCTCATATGTCCTATCATGAAAAATATTTTTAATTTTTTTTAGCTTAGAATTTGCAAAACTTTGGCTAGGAGGCCCCATATCAGCATCTTAGGCACATGCTTAAACTAACACTGTGTCAGACACTGTAATGTGTTTTCAGCTTCTTCCTTAGCATCTGTTTGGAGGCAAAGATGACAGCTAATGTCAGACAGGGCCATCTGCCTTTACATTCTTTCTAAACCTTATGCCCAGTAAGGGTTCCATGATTCATTTTCTTCCATTTAGGAAAACTCATTGAATAGGAATTGATTTCTGACTGTCAAGAATTATCAAATAGCCTGTGTAACCTTGTTTAAAGATAAATATATCTTTAAAAAATAGTATTCAGACTATCTTTTACAATGTTTTCTAAGGTTAGTAAGAGCTTTAGCAGACCTCAGGGGATTAGGTTGCTATATTATTGTGGCAAGGTAATCTATGTTACAGTGTTAATAATATGGCTTCAAAAAACACCTCATTTTTCAAAATAATTTATTTGTTATGTGTTAGTTTCCTGAATCTTCCATAACAAAGCACCACAAACTCGGTGGCTTAAAAAAACAGAAATTTATTCTCTCACAGTGATGAAGGCTAGAACCTGAAATCAGGTTGGTTAGTTCTGGAGGACCTGAGGGAGAAATTATTCCATGCTTCTCTCCCGGTTGCTGGTGGTTGCAGGTAATCTTGGGCATTACCTGGCTTATGACAGTGTAACTCTGCCCTGATGATACTGCATATCCTTTCATATGCTTATTTGCAATACATCTATCTTCTTTTACCCATTTTTGTATTGAAATTTCAGAGTCATTTTTTTTTTTTTTTTGAGACGGAGTCTGGCTCTGTCACCCAGGCTGGAGTGCAGTGGCCGGATCTCAGCTCACTGCAAGCTCCGCCTCCCGGGTTCACGCCATTCTCCTGCCTCAGCCTCCCAAGTAGCTGGGAATATAGGCACCCGCCACCTCGCCCGGCTAGTTTTTTGTATTTTTTTTAGTAGAGACGGGGTTTCACCGTGTTAGCCAGGATGGTCTCGATCTCCTGACCTCGTGATCCGCCCGTCTCGGCCTCCCAAAGTGCTGGGATTACAGGCGTGAGCCACCGCGCCCGGCAGAGTCATTTTTATATATGAATATATAACATATATAATTATATATACATATGTACACATACACATACAAATATACCTATATTTCTACATATGTTTATAAATTTATATATACATGTATATGTATGTTTATCCTGGATGCAAGTTGTCATATATATGTATATATAAAAACATATATGTATATCAACATATATATGTGCACATATATATATCCAGGATACATATGTGTATACACACATAAACTGTTATATATACATTTATGTATAGATATATATGTATACACAATTTGTATACATATACATATATATATATGTATGTATATCCTGGATAGAAGTTCATTGTCACAAATGTAATTTGCAAATATTCTCTCCCAATTTGTGATTTGCCTTTTGTTCTATTAACAGTATCTTTTGAAGAGTAAAAGGTTTTGATCTTAATCCAATTTATCAAGTTTTTTCTTTAATAGTTGTTTTGTGGTATCTACCAGAAAAACCTTTGCCTAACTCCAGGCTTATTCTTCTGCTACAACCACAGTCTTGATTACTGTAATTTATAGTAAATATGGAAATCAAGTATTCTGAGAACTCCAACTCTGTTCTTTTTAAAACTTATTTTGGCTTTTGTAGTTCCTTTGATTTTCTATATAAATTCTAGAATCAGTATGTTGACATCAGCAAAAAGGCTTGCACAGATTTTGATAGGGATTGCATTGAATCTATAGATAAAAGTAGAGAGAATTGCCAATCTTAACAATATTTAGTCTGTGAATACAGTGAAATACACTGGTTGAGTTTTTAATGTTGTATCAGACTTGTATCTTGAGACATACCTCATGTGGTTGTTAAGTATTATATTTTTATGTATTTATATATTGGATTCCATTTACTAATATTCTATTAAAGATTTGGTGGTCTATGTTTATAAATCACACTGGCAAGTAGTTTTGTTTGTTGTAAGGTCTTTGTCTACTTTTAGGATAAGGAAAATGTTGCCCTAATGAAGTGATTTGAAATGTATTCTCTAATCTTCTAGTTTTTGGAAGAAGGAGTATAGAATTAGCATTATTTTATCCTTAAGAGTTTGGTAGAATTTGCTAGTAAAATCATAGGAGCCTAGAATATTCCTTTTTACAAATGTTTAACTATGATTCACTTTGCTTGACCAATATTGGGCTATTCAAGTTATCTATTTCTTTTTAATTGATTTTGGCAGATTGTGTCTTTCAAGAACTTGGCCCATTACATTTAAGTTCCTGAACTTAACAGGCATAGACCTGCTGATATCATAAGCTTACTATCTTTTTAACATGCATAGTGTTGGACATTATGTATGCTATTTCATGCTGATGCTGGTAGTATTTGTATGTCTTATATGTTTCTTGATCAGTCTGCTTAAAAATAAATCAATTTTATTGTTATTTTCAAATAATCAGCTTTTGGTTTTGTTGACTTTCTTTATTGTTTTTCTCTTTTCAGTTTCACTAATTTTTTCTCTAATCTTTATTATTTTTCTTCCTTCTCCTGTATTTGGATTTAATTAGGTCTTTTTTCTATTTTCTAGGGTAGAAGTATAAATTAATTTTAAACACTTATTCTGTTCTAACATAAACATTAAATTCTGTAAGTTTTTCTGTAAGTACTATGTTAGCTGCAATCCACAAACGTTTGATATGTTATATTTTTATTTTCATTCAGTTAAATATTTTTATTTATAAATTATTTTATTTTCATTCATTAAAATATTTTTAATATCCCTTGAGATTTCCTATTGACCTACGGGTTATGTAGCAGTGTGTTGTTTAAATTTTTTTCAGATCTATTTCTGTAATTTCTAGTTTAATCACATTATTATACGATCATACAGTTT